TTGTTATATACATGTACCAAATGCACACATTCTTGGCTTTAGAAATCATATATTGCTTTCAGATATTTAGCACACCAGAGTATTTGGCAACTGGTTCCCGATTCAAAATAAATACAACATGTACCAGAAATCTTAATTTAGGCTGAACATAGCTAGTTACTTGAAGTCATGTTCTTTCAAGTTGCCCCTTGTACTCTTCCTCTCCATTTGAATATCCTTTTGCTGTGGTAATATGTAAAAGAAGCCAAAACTTTATCGCTTTAAGTTTCGGTGTCAGTTGGAGGGAATATGTCCTTCAATATTTTCCCCCTTCATATTAAGACTTCCATTTTCTAGTTAAATACTGCATTCCTACTAATGCTGAGTTTAAATTAAATTTATGAAGGAATGATGAAAAAACATTAATACTTTGAACCTAGAAGAATAATCCTTGCTCTTCTCCCACCATCTCTAATATTTTCTTAATGTCTGTGGCTCAGTGTATATTTTGAAAGATCCATTACAGCAGATGTTTGAGTCCTGATGGTTTAAAAAATGATAGAGGGAACAAAGGATTTATATATTTTTTTTGTACAGAGTTTTTTCTTAAACTGTATAATTTTGTAAATATTTTGCTTTTTGTGTACTAAAACTACCAGCGTATAGATTTCAATAAGAATTGTTGTATTTTTGTATTTGGAAACTGAAGATTACAGTGAACGAATGAAGCTGTAAGAGAAATTTCAGTAGCCTTTGACACAGTTAAACAGAATGGGGTTTCCTTTTCATATGGTTTTAGCTCTAAAAGGACACACCTTATCGGCACACTTCGTTGAGAGACACTTTTGCCCTTGCTCATATGTATTGGCTTTTTTAGTTGGGTGAGATAGGCGAGAGGCAAGGGAGGAAGATTTATTTAATGGGCTTTGGAGAGATTTATATAACATTTTCTTTTGGTATACACATTGGTAGCCTTACATAAATCCTCAAGTGACATCCCAAACATGATTTCTAAGCATTGAAGCACAAAAGTGAGTTGTGCCTCTGAACTTAGCTTGTGTATTTAAAACATGCTATTATGCTGCCTATCACTTATATTCACAATAATATAACAGTAATTGACTTAATTCTGGTATTTAAGGAGTGGGAAAGCTGTTTGAAAGTGACCTTCATTTTGCCAAAGCTAGAGGATTTCCCTGTGTTGTATTTTAGGGCTTAGTAGGTAATACTAAATTGTTTATTTTTAAGTAGGTAACTGAGAATGCCCATTTTATTTTTTTATGGTAACATTTTATTTTTATTATGAAATTATAATGTACACCTTCAGAAAGTACAGTTGACTTAATTCCTAATCAGTACTATATCTATATATGAATACCAAGCAACATATGTATAGGAAATTTAAAATAAAATGTTACCAAACTAAAGCCTAGTTTACAGACAATACAACTGTATATGCTAAACGTTAAACCTTGGTATGAAGAATTATTCTTCATTTCTTTATCATCAAATTAAGTTCTTAAGCATAACAAAGCCCATGAGCTGAAAAGATTCATTTGAAAACACTTGCCCATTTATGATGAAAATGTTTCAACAGTTTTTAACAAAATCATGTGAAAAGGAATATAAGTTCCTCTTGATGTATAGTAAACTTGTACTATAGTTTTTACAAAATTGTGAACTTGTGTAATAGTATAATAGGAGATATTGTTGAATTTCTAACTGTTTATACATTTAAATTCATATATGTAATGTTTGTTTTATTGATTACAATCTGAATTTCTAAGATGCATGTTGACTTTTTGCAATAAAGATATAATATGGAATGGTTCAAAATTTAAAAAAAGAAAAAAGAAAAAGCTACAAATAACTCTAACTTAAAAAAATTGGAAAACTGAAGAACCATTCCAAAAAATTACAACCATCACAAAAAGAGCTGTATCACTTTTCTTCTGAAAAATGTGTGTGTGTGTGCGTCCCTGTATGTGCAGGCTTTTGCTTGCCTTATAGTTAACAAATATTGCTGAAGCAGCTGGAGAGAAGATACAGTTTCTCTGTGGAGAGCATTACAGTTCTGTAAGAGCCAGTATGAAGTAATGTGGTCAGCAAACTGTGAGTATATTTGTGTTTTGCAGAAAATGGCAAAGCATTTCATATCTTTTTATTTAAAGGGTAAACTAATTATTTTAATGCACCTTTGCCAGTGCACTGAACAAAATGAATTCCAGTCCATCGACCTTTTGAAACAATTTGAAACAATAAAACTGCAATGTGCCAATTGTAAAACCAAGTTAAGAGTGATCTAATGCAAAGTGAGAACCAGTGTTGGTCCCATATTTATACTAAATCTTTAGAGCTTCTCTTTCCTTTCCAAAGTTCTATTTAAAAGTAGCAATGAATGGAGAATTATTTTAGACTAGGAGTGAGTTACACACCCTACAGCCCCTTAAAGCAAATGCATATCACCTGATGATCTCTAAGGTGGGATGGTATCAGAGTATAAATAAGATTAAAGTTTGTCACAACATAGCATGCCCCCCCCCCCCCCATTGATCCAATCTGTTAATCAGAACTTCTACTGCTGCCACTGTTTCTAGCCTTTAATGTCCACCAATCAGTTCCTTAAATGCCTCTGCATTTTCTTCTGTGTTGTCCCTTATGCATATGGGGGGGGGAAATCATCCAGTCTCATCCTTATCCTTCTTCAAATTACTCCTTAGAATTTGCTCTATCACGATGCCTACAAAACCTTGCTTACTGATCATGGCCAGGCAGGTGACAAGCTGTGACTTTTTCTCTTCCCTTTTTTTACTTCTAGTCTCAATTTAAAAAAAAAAAGGCTATGCTACATGTAACAGTGGTGTCATTTCTTCACCATGCTCATTCACTGGTGTGTTGTATCCCTATTACCCGACCCTTCATCTGTCTGTCATTAGATTCTAAGTACTTCAAGGCGGGAATTGGCTTTTCTGTATTTTACAGTGTTCTCCACAATGGGTCCCAACCCCAATTGGGGACCTTAGGCAGTACCATAATGGAAATAAAAAAACGGTTTTCATTTTTGGAGCTTGTTTCCTTTGCCTAAAATATAAAGTCTTGGTGCAATATCTGCCTTACGAGATAAGGGCTTTTGAAGGAAAGAGACCTTGAAATGGGGATGTTTAGGGTGTGAGATTTGGAATAGAGAATAAATAGTTGCCCCAAAAACCACTAATTGAACATGTTTTCTAAGCAAGAAAAGGTAATAGAAATCATCCTGTGTGTATTTCAGAACTCTTATTTTTTTCTCTCATGTTTTTGCAGATCTTTTGTATGGGAATATAGCTGTCTTGCACCTGAATTTTATAAATGCCTTTTTACTGGTATGTGGCAGTTACACTTATGGTAAAGAAGAAAGTATTCTTTAAAACCATTTATGGTCAAAACAAGACTTATTAAGGAATCTATTAACAGAACAAATTGAAGGTAAATGCATTTAACTCAAAGATTTTTACATTATACTTCAACCATTGCTAATTAGGAAACCAACATGCCTGTCCTATATGCAGGACTCCTGTGGAGTTGATTGGCATTTCTATGCATAGAATTTCCTCAGAGGCGGGACTAGAACTTGCTAATAACTGATTTTTTTATTTTTTTTTACTTTTTAAATATACAAGATCAGATTGTAGCTTGTGTAAATAATTAAATAAAATGTATACTAGGAAATACTTGTCAGAATTTTGATAACCGTTACCCATTTAAACATTGTTGACCCAAGCACGTGATGTGATAACATGAAGTTCCTTAAACTAAAATTATGTTCTTAAGTCTTATTCTTCACAGTTTATAAAAAAAATTTTTTTTATAAATGTATTGTTGATTCACCCAGTTGGGTAGGCTTGTATTTGTCTATCCAGCAAGATGTTAGGATAGATAAAGAATGGGCTGGAGAACAGGGAGAATATTATGCCATCATATAACTCAGTGATGTGGCCTTGTCTAGAGCTTGTGTAGGACTGGTCGCCCCACTTTTTTTTTTTTTAATGACAAGTTTGGTTGCTAATGGTAATGGCTGATGTAATGTATTACGACTTCTTTAAGGCATTTGATTTGGTACTGCATGATGTTTTGATTAAAAAAACTAGAAGGATATAAAATGAACATGGTACACATTCAGTGGATCAACAGCAGGCTAACTGCTAGGTCTCAAAATAGAATTCTAAATGAGGAATCCTCATAAAGCAGGGGTGTTTCATGTCACGTCCTGCAGGGATTTGTTCTTGGCCCCATGTTGTTTAACGTTATCAGTGACCTGTAAGAAAACATAAAATCATCACTGTAGTTCACAATTTGAGGAGTGGCAAATAATGAAGTGGGCAGGGCATTAATACAGAGTAATCTGGTTGACTTGGGTATCTGTGCGCAAGCATGCCAAAGGTAAGGTCATTCATCTAGGAACAAAGAATTTAGGCCATATTTATAGGATGCGGGACTCTATCCTTGGAAGCAATGACTCTGAAGAAGATTTGAGGGGTCATCTGAGATAATCCAATAGAACGTGAGCTCCCAGTGCAAAGCTGTGGCCAAAAGAGCCAAATGTGACCTTAGATGCATAATTGGGAATCTCAAGTAGGAGGGAGGTTATTTTATCTCCTGTATTTGGCACTGACATGACCACTGCTGGAATACTGTGTCCAGTTCTGGTGCCACAATTCAAGAAGGATGTTGAAAAATTAGAGAGGATTCAGAGAAGAGCCACAACAATAATTGGCAGATTAAAAAACATGCTTATTGTGATAGACTCAAGGAGGTCAATCTGTTTTGCTTAACAAAGAGAAGGATAAGGGGTGATTTAATTGCAGTCTGTAAGTATCTATATGGGTAACAAATACTTGATAATGGGCTCTTCGATCTGTCAGAGAAAGGTACAACACAATCAAATGGCTGGAAATTTAAGCTAGACAAATTCAGATTGGAAATAAGACATATATTAACAGTGAGAGCAATTAACCATTGGAACAATTTACCAAGTGTCATGGTGGGTTGTCCATCACTGACCATTTTTAAATCCTGATTGAATGCTTTTCTAAAAGATCTGCTCTAGGAATTGTTTTGTGGAAATTCTGTGGCCTGTATTATATAAGAGGTCAGCCTACATGATGACAGTGGTCCCTTCTGGTCTTGGAATCAATCTCAAAAAGGCTATTTCAGAATTAGGGGGTGGTCAGAGAAGGGAGATGAAAACGATTAGTTGCTTCAAAAAACGCTTGTATGAGGAGATTGAAAGGATTGGGATTTACCTTGGAAAAGACTAGATAAAAGGAGGCATGAGAGAAGTATATAAAAAGAATGGTATTAGACGGTAGATCAGGAGCTTCTGCTTTATTTCATAGAAACAAAGACTTTCAGTGAAATTAAAATGTGGTAAATTCGAAAACCTACAAAAGGAAATACTCTTCACACAATGTATAATTAGACTGTGGAACTCATTGCCACAGGATGCCATTGACCAAAAAAAGTAGCAAGATTCGAAAAGGGATTAGATATTAATGGACAAGAATATCTGAAGTTTTAATGGATAATGCGATCAAATTTTGTAAGAGATGTTAACCTTCATGCTTCAGAATTTGAACCAATCTTGAACTACTAGCTATTAGGAGGGGTTTTTTTGCATCTTCCTCTGAAGCATCTAGCGTTGGCTCCTGTCTGAGCCACAATGTTACACTTAATGCATGATGGGTCTGGTCTGGTATGACAATTCCTTTGTAATTACGAACACATCCTGGTATATCGAATAAGGGAGGAGGATTTCAGCCTGTCCTTAAAATTGACATAAAAGTGGCAACTAACTGACGGTCTTGTTGTCAGTTGTAAGATTTTCATAACAGGGGGCCGGGGTGGGGAGTGGAAGCCAATTGAACAGTGCATGTCAGTTATATTTAACTCACTAAAGCCTACATACATATCGTTATACTACTTTTTGCACAGTAAAGCTATAGCTGTGGAACAATTCACTTGAGGCAAAATGCAAACAGATTAATTGTAGATTTATTTATTTTTCTACAGGATCTGCCATTGACGCACATTTCTGCAGTCCATTGAAGGTTAACCAACCAGTCCAGGTTTTGGAGTTGGCTACTTGATATAGGTAGGACTATGGTAAGTAACTGTTAGACGTCTATAGTGGTCTTGCGTGTAGTACAGCCTGGTATTTTGATAGTAACCATTGATCTGTAGCTATTTTATCAAAGATTAAAATGATTAAATACTGAAGATAAAAAATAAGTTGGTGGGTGACAAGTTTTGTTTTTTTCAGATGAGCGTAATAAAGCATAGGGTTAAACTAGAAAACAAGTGATAAAAGGTATTTCACTGAGACCAACATCTGCTAAAGGAACCTTTTGTAGAAGTGTTGCTAGCAGAGGCGACGCATTGGGGAGGGGCACATGTGGGGTCACGTGCCCCCTAAATTTGCTGCTTGTCTACATTGCTGAAGCCAACTGCCCTCACTCTGCCCCTCCTCCCCCACTATCAGCAGGCCTGGATCGTCTCTGATTGCTAGGTCAGTGCTTTCTCACAATACATCTTGGTTCTCTTGTCTGTCTTCTCCTACATCACCTTTTTTGCCCATTCACAGCTTTAAAAATCTGTATTTGAAGAGAATATCTGTATAGAAAATGAATTGCGCTAACTATTCAAATAATTGTAGTATGCTTATTTGGAAAGTGTTTAGCGAGTTTTAGGTGCTACCACAATTTAAATAGTTACTATTAAACTATAAAGTTTAAGATGGGTGAGGCATTATCTTTTACTGGACCAACTTCTGTTGTTGAGAGAGACAAGCTTTCGAGCTATATGGATCTGGGAAAGGTAGAGTATCACAGCTAAATACAAGGTGGAACAGTTTGTTTAGCGTAGGTAGTTAACACACATTCTAAGGGCTAATCTACGCTACCAGGCAACATCAGCACAGATGAACTGATGCTTATGGAGAGTGTTCTCCTGTCAGCATAATTACTCCAGCTCAGTGAGAGGCAGAAGCTATTCTGACGGAAGAGCGTTTCCTACCGACATAGCACAGTGTAGACACGACTTGAAGTCGATGTAACTTACGTCGCTCAGGGGGGTGACTTTTTTTCACACCCATGAGCGACATAAGTTGCATCGATTTGGGGCTTGTCTACATGACTGCCTAAGAGACCGGTGAAGTGGCCTGTTAACACCTCTGCAGTCGTAGGACAAAAAAGGAGGGTTAGTGGGTTACAGATTGGAGTAATAAGCCATAAATCCAGTGTCTTTCTGAAGATCTCAATGGAAACCTCCACAACACTTTCAAAAGATGAGTGTGGGAGCTTACATTCATAACTCTACTGGACATTATAAGGCTTAAGGTAAAGTGCTCAAACCTCCTGACAAGTGTGTGGTTATACCTGATCTTCTGAAACTCGTTGGGTTTTGATGCATTTTTTGGTTACAATTACATTGACATCTGTAACTTGTAGTAATGCTTTATTTCTCATGTTTCCATTTAATTCAGTTTTGTACGCTGAAAACCTTGTGGGTTGAAATAAGAATTGGTGAGAAATTGAGGCTGTAGGAAGTTTATCCTGTAGAGGGCACAAGAATACAGAGATCTTACACTTACACCACAAACTCTGACTGTGACTGTCTGCTCTTAAACCCACTTTCATACATCTGTGGCATCACAAGTTGCTAAAGCTTGTCAGAAGAGTACCTCTGTATTTGCTGCCAGAACTTTAAAGGTGTTTAGGTGCTTAAAGATGTAGATAGGTGGAGAGTTAGACATGTAGGTACTTTTGAAAATCACATAATGGATGTCGTGGGTCTTAACATTGTAAGACTAAAGCCCTCAGCTAGGCACGAAGAACCAGATTTTTTAAGTTAGTGTGATAAGTTTGTCATTCAGAATAAAGCACTCTACACCTAAAGCTTGTCATTTCCAGAGCCAAAGTTAAACAAATTGCCTCTCTGTAGCAGCCAACATCTCCACTATTCGTTGCAACTAAGGCTTTGTCTACATGAGCACTTTCGTTGGTAAAACTTCTGTCGCTCAGGGGTGTGGAAAAAAAACACCCCCCGACGGACAAAAGCGCCGGTGTGTACAGCGTTATGTCCATGGGAGATGCTCTCCTGCTGACATAGCTACCGCTGCTCATTGGGGTGGTTTAATTATGCAGGAGAGCTCTCTCCCATCACCATACAGTGGCTATACGGGAGACCTTACAGCGGCATAGCTGCTGTAAGGTCCATAGTGTAGATATAGCCTCAGTAAAGAAATTCCTGCTCCATAGGTTTGTACTGACCTTTATCCATGCCAGTTGTTTTTAAGAAATAACTTGGCATTTTAAGCTGGATACCAGTCTAAACATTCACACTCCAGTACCACTAACCCTTTTTTGTAAGGGAAAAGGCAAGTTTGAATAGCTTTGATTTCCAGAGGAAAGATTTCTAGCTTCAGATATTTAGGGTGACCATATTTCCCAAAGGGAAAATGGGACAGGGCGTGGGGCTAACCCAAGCCCTCTCCCTTGCTCCCCCATCATGGGGCTAGCCCGAGCCCTCCCCCCCACGCAGGGCTGGCCCGAACCGCTCGCCTGAGCCACCTCACCGTGTGGGGCTGGCGTCCGGAGCCCTCACTACTCCCTTTGCGAGGCTGGGGTGGCGTTGCTGCTTGCTCAAGCTCTGCCTGCCCGCCACCCGAGCCCTGCCTCCCCCCACATAGGGCTGGCATCACCGCTCACCCT